TATTTTCTATTCTATTCTATTTTCTATTCTATTCCATTCCATTCCATTCTCTATTCTATTCTATTTTCTATTCTATTCTATCCTATCCTATTCTTTTCCATTCTATTCTCTATTCTATTCTACTCTATCCTATTCTATCCTATTCCATCCTATTCTATCATATCCTATCCTATTCTTTTCCATTCTATTTTCTATTCTATTCTATTTTCTATTCTATTCCATTCCATTCCATTCTCTATTCTATTCTATTTTCTATTCTATTCTATCCTATCCTATTCTTTTCCATTCTATTCTCTATTCTATTCTATTCTATTTTCTATTCTATCCTATTCCATGCTATTCTCTTCTATTCTATTCTCTTCTTTTCTCTTCTTCTTTTCTATTCAATTCTCTTCTCTTCTATTCTATAAATAGTTGTCTGGCTATAGTCTAAAGCTGCTTATCTGCTGTCTCTTGGCTGTTCCAGGAAATGTGGACCAAGGTCCATTTGCAGCCCGCTTTAAGGAGAAGTTCATGCCATTTTGAAATGAGCTGGACCACATGCGTTACCGTAATCTTTTTGATCTGGGTTGGAATCATTATGGAAGCATGTTATGTCCCTTCGGCGAGTAAGAGATAACTGTGGTCCATGGATTGCGGAGGTTATTTTCAGCCAGATCCTAATGAAAGCGGTAAACAGCATCTGTGGTCTCCAGAAAGAGCTGAGACGGGGAGGTGGGGCGGGGGGGAAGTACACTGGATGTGCAGAGATAGGATAAGTTGCGCAGAGCCTTCACTGAAATTAATTTGTCAAACTAAGTGTGAAAGGCCTCAGGTGTGCCGGGGAGTCACACAGCACAGAGGTGCCAGGATGGTGCCTGCAAATAAGCCTCAAAGATGTCCAGGTATTTATGCATCTATTAATTTTCATCAGTTTTGCAGCTGAAATGGCAATTGGCAATAACTGTTTGCCCTTTCTGGCAGCTCTCCTCCCCATTCCAGCAACGAACGCAAAATCCTAAAATAGCACAGCATTTAATTTCTATTCTCAAAACAGCCTAATCCTCAAAACGGACTCCACCAACTGTTTTATTAATGAGAGCACTGGTTTATGTATCTGTTAGGCTCTGAGGCATGGATGGCCAACCTTTTTAGACTTGTGGATTTCAACTCCCAGAATTCCTCAGCCACACAGGAATTCTGGGAGTTGAAGTTCCACAAGTCTTAAAGTGGCCAAGGTTGGATGCCCTATGATCTATAGCATTGGAAGGAATGAGCTATGCTGGAGAAGCCATGGTGGATCACGTTTGATCAATCTTTATTGATGAATTCAATAAATTGAATTGATCTACAATTCCCAATAACTCTGGCCATTGGCCTGTCCAAAAATTATGTGAAATCATAAAGTGTTGAGTTCAGTCCATAATGTTAATGTCAGGGTTCAAAATATCATCCAAAATTAAATTGGAGTTCGAGACAAAGTATTGCTCAAAGTTCCATGTTGGCANAAAAAAAAAAAAGACACAAACTCAATATAATTGCTATTAAGTTAATCAGAAAAAAATGATGCTGGGGAAAACGTATCATTTGCTGCAATTGTCATCAGCAGAAGAAGGGAAAAAAGGATTTGGGGGAGAGACTTGCTCTATTTCTGCGCCTTTCATCTTGTTCACTGTTTAACAAAGTCAATCCATAACAATGTCATCTGAACTTTCCCATTATATCCAACAAGATTCAAAACCATATTTAGCTAAAAGATCTATTAAACTCTTCTTTGAACATTCAAATTAATCAGGGACAATTAGAAGGACTGGATATTTTTTTAAAAATAAGAATTATGATAGTTGAATGAGAGTGATGGGGAGAGCGAATGACTTGTTCTATCTAGGTCATTCTTTTTTTTTCTTTTTAAAGATTATTTCATTTAAATTGTAACTCCCCAATCTTTCCTTAGATGTTCTGTCAGAAATAGGTTGGGGAGGGAACTCGCAACCCAGAGGTTTAACAAGAATAAGGTTACCGTCCTAAGCACTGAATGACAGAGTTGAAAGAGGTCAAATGGAACATTTAATCTGGAGGTATCCAACCTTGGAAACTTTAAAGCTTGTGGACTTCAACTTCCAGTATGGCTGTCTGGGGAATTCTGGGAGTTGAAGTCCACAGGTCTTCAAGTTGCCACGGTTGGACACCTCTGATCTAATCCAACCTCAAATTCTCCCTTGGAGATATCCATTCCTCCTCCTTGAAAAAGTGTGCAGAGATGGAGAACTCGCCACGTTCAACAACTGTTTTACTACTCTGCGGATCTTCTGTTTAAATAAAATATCCATAGCTACAATTTATCCTGCAGGATCTCATCTGAATTGGTAACTTGGACCAAAGGTTTATTCTTCCAAGCTTTTGGGCTTGCTTTTTTTTTAATTTTAATTTTATTTTATTTAGTTTGTCAAACATGTACAAGATATCAGGTATAAGTATAAACATGGACATGAACAAGGGAAATAAGTACAAATAAATGGGGACAGTAGGACAGGGATGGTAGGCAGGTTGGTGCGCTTATTCACGCCCCCTTTATGGACCTCTTAGGAATGGGGTGAGGTCCACAGTAGACAGTTTAAGGTTGAAGCTGTGGGGGTTNAGGGTTTTAATCTCTTCTATACTGATGGTTTCACTAGCTACAACTACTTTGTGTTAATTGCTGGGGCAATCTGTCAGTTTTTAATCATTTCAGGGTGTTTGGGAACGAACTTGCGGGAGGCACTTGAGCTATTTAAATGTTGAAGCTTACTGAGAAACCAAATTTCCTTGAAAAACAGGGCCACAAATAATAAATACCACACCATCAATTCCTGACATTTCACCATCGTATTAAGAAGTGAAGTTCAACAGGGTTACAACAATAACTGCTAAGTTACTTTGAAAGTCGATGCCTTAAGATATTCAGAGGACCAGCCTTACCCTGAAACCACAATAAAATAGAATTTTTGAGTCATCGTAGATCAGGTTGGGCAAAGGGAGAGAAGGGTTGGTGTAAGCAACTATTCCTATGTTGACCAACTCCTCCAGTTTGAAATAAAATAATGCCCTTTTCTAGAGAACCTAAGATGGGAAACCGGTGGCCTCTAACTGTTGCTGGCCACCAAGAACTTCAAGTCCAGCATGAGTGCCTGTAGGTGTGATCCAAAATGGCCACAAGAGTATCATCAAAGCTCTGCCCATGTTTTGGATGTGCCTCACGCATTAAACAATGTGGTGGAGATTTGATAGTACCATCACAACTATTGTCTTGATCATTTTGACTACATCTTGTAGATTCTTCTGAACTCCAACCAATGTGGTCAACACTTAGAAATCAGTAATAGTCACATTCTGGCTACATTTAGAGGACACTGGCATTCCCTTTCTTGTATTGTGTTGAGGTAGGCTGATAGAAACCTATTTTTTCTTGCATAAAACTATTAGTTTTGGTAGGAAAAGAACTCATGATTATATAATCCAGCTCCCATCAACTCAGTCCGTCATGAATTGGAGGCAGATTTTCAATGAGTTGTCTTTCCATTTTTTTCTTCCCTTTTTAATTTTTATTTTTTTAAAAAATCTACTTTTAATCGTCAACCAGTTCTCTCTCGATGCCTACAGAAGCTAGCTCTCATTACTCAAGCACATCTAAACTGAAAAAAAAAGTTATATAAATATATACATATAATTTCTTTTGAATATATTATATATACATACCTACTCACACACGTACACACAAAGATGCACACAAACGCACACTGGGATTTATTTAAAGACTAACCAGAGCTTTTGTTTATGTTTTTGCTTTCAGTATGTACAAAATAACCACACTTGTTTGCAAAACAAAACAAAAAGAAAAGCAAAAACAAAACAGGAACAAAGGGTGTTCATTATGTATGAAATGGAAGCCTTTTTTAAATATATATATATAATTATATATATATATATANGCCTGGTTAGCACAAGCAGCTGATTGTTGGTTGGATCAGCCTCCCACGCATCAGCTATTTCGGGCTGCAGGGATTGCCATTCCCTATTGCCGCCTCCGCGTGCCCCATTTTTGGCCTCCGCATCCCATTTTTGGCCTCTGTGCGCCCCATTTTCGCCCTCCGTGTGCCCCATTTTCTGCCCATTCCGATCCCTGCAGCAATAGGCTATGGCAATCCCTGCAGCCTGAAACAGCTGATCGTCAGGAGGCCGATCCAACCAACAATCAGCTGCTTGTGCTAATCAGGCTGTGCTGAAACTGAAACTGAAACAGTCAGTTTGCTGTTTGCTTCAAGGAGGCAAATTGCTGGAAGGCAGAGGGAGATTTTTTTTTCTTGTTTTCCTCCCCAAAAGCTAGGTGCATCTTATACTTTAGAGCGTCTTATACTCCAAAAAATATCAGTTGTGTCCGATTTTCAAAAACTGCCTGGATAAGTCTCTTGGCAGTTTCCTTGGCAAAGTTTTTCAAAAGTGGTTTGCCATTGCCTCCTTGTTAGCGGTGAGTGAGGTTGACCGGCCCAAGATCAACCAACTGACCTTGTGCCTATGATGGGACTAGAACTCACAATCTCCCAGTTTCTAGCCTGGTACCTTAACCACTTCACCAAACTGGTTCTCTATCTAAACACTAAATTCCATATGAACCACACAGGTCTGGATAAGAAACGCATAAATCATGTGAAGCAAAGAGAATCCAAGAATAGAATTCAAATCTTTTGCTGTAACATTTTTTCTTTGTTTCCCGGCCTTTTTTCTTTTCTTTATTTAAATGGCCGATGTAATTATGGGTGTTTTCTTCTCCATCCTTAAATCTTTATGATGGATTGCTCTGGCGCATGGGTAATTGAATGTAAATTGCTTAGAGTCATAAGTGAGCCACCAAATAAATGTGCCTAAGGATTAGAGGAGGAATAAAATAAATGCAGTCTTTAAGCGTGCTGTATGCTTGCTAATAAACGATGTTGTTGCTCATCACCCAGGTCTGTAAGAACTCCGGGCATTTAAAGCTGGCCTATCGTTTCGCCATGGTGACTAGCAAAGAGTGTGCTACTATCCCAAGCAGAAGATCACCTCTGACTTTTTCAACTCCTCCTTCTCCAAAGCCTCAGTTGCTTCAGAATGGGCCCTTCTCAATTTCAGCTCGGTGTCCTCCCAGCAACTGGATTGTATCTGACAAAACGTTGCCGCAGCCTCGCTCCGGATTCCATCCTCGAGAACATTGGACACGATGACCTCTTGCTGAAAACGAGAGCAAAACAACTGCAGCAACAACAACAACAAAATAGACACAATCAAAACTGGGTCTCCTGGGAGCCAAGTTACGCGATGACTCTGTCTCCCCTCCCCACACCTCTCTGTCAACTTGTTGCTATTGAACTGTTTTAAAACAATTGTCTGTGGGTTAGTATTTGTATATGTATGAGTGTATGTATATGTATATATATATATTTATAGAGAGAGAAGAGATATACCAATAGGATTAGCTTTTGTATGGCTTTCACATTAGGCTTGGGGGTCCGTGGGGCAGAGGAACATGGAAGAGGGGTGATGGGTCACCACCAGTAGCTCGGCTCAGCGTTGATGCTACGTGTAAAGTCGTGTTTCTCAACCCAGTGTTTTCTCAACCCGGGTAACTTTTAAGAGTTGTGGACTTCAGCTCCCAGAATTCCCCCACCAGCGCAGCTCTTAAAGTTACTGCAGTTGAGAAACGCTGGAGTAACCCAAAGGAACGAGCATTGTGTGAAGCAGCTGATTCAATAGCATCACTTAAGAGAAAAAGAGAGAGGGGGGAGAGAGAGAGAGAGAAGGAGAGAGAGGGGAGAGAGGGAGGGAGGGAGATCTCCCTATGTTTTATAGTATAGGATGCCTTCATTCCCTTTGATTTTCCATTTCATTTCCAAGGGTTCCTTCCAAGGAGACAAGCATTCTGCCCAGCTTGATATGCTCAGCCGGTATGGGGGAAGATCTTCCAGTGGATGGCATGCTCTGAAGATGAACTTTTACAAGAGAATAAAAATGTTAAAATCCTCCTTCTGCTCACCCTTTAGAGATTTCTTTTTCTTCTTCCTCTTCCCTAGATTAAACCTTTTTTGCCTTCTCTGTGTCTTCCTCCTCCTCTCTATTAAATTTTCCCTTTCTCCCTTCTTTTTCCCTGCCTCAGATTAGACTTTCTTCTCTGTTTCTCTTCCTACTCGTCCTCACATTAAATCTTCTTCTTCTTCTTCTTCTTCTTCTTCTTCTTCTTCTTCTTCTTCTTCTTCTTCTTCTTCTTCTTCTTCTTCTTCT